TGATAGTCAACTCTGTACCCCACAAATATATGTAATCAATTATGTTTCAATAAAAAAGAAAAAGAATCAGAAAAAAGAGAAATGTTCTACACAGGAAAAAAAAAAGATTGAATCAGCAAAGATTTTATTTTCTGGGAGGCTATAACACTAGTATATTAAAATTTTGTCCTTAATCTGCTTAAACTTTGGTTTCAGGGTAAACATTTCTGAAAAGGACTATTTAATTCACAATTGAGGAAACAGACTATGCTCAGAATTGAGTTCTCTGTAGAGCCACAAGTGTCCATGGCATCATCAGAATTGCTGACTTTTCTCCAGTTCCATACTGTTTTCTAATACTGACTTTTAAAAAATTTTAACATTTACTCGTGCAAATTTGTGGGGTGCAACGTGTTGTTTCAGTACATGCATATACTGCACAATGATTCACTTAAGGTAGAGAGCAGAGTTTTGTACCAATTAGCCCACCACTGCGCCTCCCCCAACCCCCCTCCCTTCCTGGCCTCTGGTAACCATTATTCTACTCGCTACTTCTGTAAGAACCATTTTTTTTCTTTTTTCTTTTTTTTAGATTGCACATGTAAGTGAGATCATGTGTTATTTGTCTTTTTGTGTCTGACTTACATCACTTAACATGATGGTTTCCAGTTCCATCCATGTTGCTGCAAATGATAGAATATCATTTCTTTTTATAGCAGAGTAGTATTTCATTATGTATGTATCCCACAGTTTTTTATTTTATTTTATTATTTTTTTATAGCAGAGTAGTATTTCATTATGTATGTATCCCACAGTTTTTTATTTTATTTTATTTTATTATCATTTTTTTTCTTTTTGTCTTTTTTCGTGACTGGCAACGGATCGCAACCCTCAGTGTCGCGCCCGTACCGGACCGGGACCAGCAACGGGATCGCAACCCTCGGTGTTGCTCCCGCACCTCGCTCAGCCAGTGAGCGGCCGGTCTGTATGTGGGATCCGAACCCTCGGCGGGAGCGCCGCCGCGCTTCCCAAGCGGCGCACTGTAGCAGTGTGCCACCGGGCCGGCCCCCCTACAGTTTTTTTATCCATTCATCATTGATGGGCATGTAGGTTAATTCCATCTTTTGGCTCTTGTGAATAGCGTTGTGATGAACATAGGAATGCAGGCGTCTTTTCGATATATTGATTTCATTTCCTCTGGGTATATATCCAGTAGTGGGATAGCTGAGTCATAAGGTAGATCCATTTTTAGTTCTCTGAGGAACCTCCATACTGTTTTCCACAATGGCTTTACCAATTCACATTCCCGCCAACAATGTACGAGGGTTCCCTTTTCTCTGAATCCTCACCAGCATGTGTTATTTTCTGTCTTGCTGGTAATAGCCATTCTGATGGGGGTGAGACAATGTCTCATTGTGGTTTTAATTTGCATTTCCCTGATGATTAGTGATTTAAGCATTTTTTTTCATACGTTGTTTGCCATTTGTATGTCTTTCTTTGGAGAAATGTCTTTTTGGGTGTTTTGCCCATTTTTTAATGGGGTTATTTGGTTTCTGCTGAGTTGAGTTCCTTTATGTATTCTGGATATTAGCCCCAGTCTGATGTGTAGTTTGCAAACACTTTCTCCCATGCTATAGGTCGTCTCTTCACTTTGTTGATAGTGTCCCTTGCTGTGCAGACGGTTTTTAGTTTGATGTTGTCCCATTTGTGTATTTTTGCTTTAGTTGCCTGTTCCTTTGTAGTCTTGCTCAAAAAAAAAAACGCTGCTCACTTGCATTTTGTGTGGTGTTTTCCCTGTGTTTTCTTCTAGTAGTTTCATAGTTGCGAGTCTTAGATTTAGGTCTTTAATTCATTTTGAGTTGATTTCTGTGTATGGTGAGAGATAGGGGTCTAGTTTCAGTGTTCTCCTTGTGGATATCTCGTTTTGCCAGCACCATTTATTAAAGAGACTGTCCTTTCTCCAGTGTATACTCTTGGCGCTTTTGTCAAAAATCAATTGGCTGTAAGAGCATGGGTTTATTTCTGGGTTCTCTATTCTGTTCCATTGGTATATTTGTGTTTTTATGCTAGTACCATGCTGTTTTGAGTTACTATAGCTTTATAGTACATTTTGAATTGACCTGAATGCAATGCAGTTTGGACTGAAGATACCTTCTTTATTTTTATTTTTATTTTTGGTGGCTGGCCAGTATGGGATCCGAACCCTTGACCTTCATGTAACAAGGCTGCACTCTAATAAGCTGAGCTAACTGGCCAGCCCTTATACTATATTTTGAAGTCAGGAAGTGTGATGCCTCCAACTTTGTTCTTTTAGTTCATTATTGCTTTAGCTATACAGGGTCTTTTGTGTTTCCATACAAATTTTAAGATCATTTTTTTCTATTTCTGTGAAGAATGCAATTAGTATTTGATAGGGATTGTGTTGAATGCATAGATTGCTTTGTGTAATATGGACATTTTGATGGTGTTAATTCTTCCAGCCCAAGAACATGGGATATTTTTCCATTTATTTGTATCCTCTTCAGTTTTTTTCACCAATATTTTATAGTTTTCATTGTAGAGGTCTTTCACATCCTTGGTTAAATTTACTCCTAGATATTTCATTTTTTTTGGTAGCTGTTGTGAATGGAATTACTTTCTTGATTTCTTCAGCTATTTTGTTACATATATAGGAAGGCTATTGATTTTTTGTGTTGATTTTGTGTACTGCCAGTGTACTGAATTCATTTATCAGTTCTAATAATTTTTTGGTGAAGTCTTGAGGGTTTTCTGTATATATGATCATATCATCTGCAAATAGAGATAGTTTGACTTCCTCCTTTCTGATTTGGATGGCTTTTATCGCTTTCTCTTACCTTATTGTGCTGGCTAGAACTTCCAGTATCGTGTTGAATAAGAGTGGGGAAAGTGGTTATCCTTGTCTTGTTCTAGATTTTAGAGGAAAAAGCTCCAGTTTTTGTCCATTCAGTATTATGTTAGCTGTGGGTTTGTTGTATATGGCTTTTATTGTGTTGAAGTACATTCTTTCTACACCTAATTTGTTGAGTGTTTTTTTCATGAAGGGGTATTTGATTTTATCAAATGTTTTTCCTGCATCTATTAATACTGACTTAAAAAATGTGCACACCGTCTCTTCAAAAATACTCCCAGGCTGATCAACTAGTTCCTGCCGATTAGCCTATTGGATTTTATATTAGCACTGGATAGGGATCCAGCAAAGCAGAAGCTTCAAAAAGAATGAAACTCCAAACTTTTGTTGTATTTGATATTTTTAAAAAGTTGGTAATATCCTGGGAGAAATCAGAACTGTGTTGTGTTTACATTTTCTTTCCGCCTCCCTCCCTCCCTCCCTCCCTTCCTTCCTTCCTTCCTTCCTTTCCTATGAACATAGTGGTGAATGGGGGCAGGAAAGAGGATTCCTTCCATGATCTTTTCAGATATTAGAGCCTCAAGATCTTGCCTGAGTCCTGCGTCTGACCTTCTTGCTAGGAATCACTTGGTGAAATGTGGTCCAGGGCTGGTACTTAATTGTGAAAATCCACAACTTTGATGGTTCTTAAGCTTCACAAAATGATCAGCTTGCTTCTCTGAAGGGGAAGAAGGATCCTATTGTACTGTATGGTACATGGATGTACACCAATAAAATCCAATACTCCTTCATGATAAAAACTCTCAAGAAATTAGGTATAGAAGGGATGTACCTCAGCACATACATTTGGAAGGGGTTGTGGTCACTCCTTCCAAATCACTCACAGAACAATGTTTGTTGAATCAGTGGAGAGACAGGCCCCAAAACAGTGGTAACAGCTATGTTAAGAGCCAAGCTTCTGTGAACTTTGGTAATTGGCAGATATGACTAGTTACTCCTAAGTTTCTCAACAGAATACCTGACGGGAGACAGCGGGCGCTGGGAACCCAAGGCCAACTTGAGTGTTGGTCCTGGATCTGCTCTTAATTTTCTGAGTGTACGTGTGAGCACGTCTCTTAATCTTCCCAGAGAAAGAGTTTCTTTTATCTATAAGTGAGGAGTTTGGGCCCAGTGATCCCCCAAATCCCTTTTTGACTCTGTTTCTGGCATCTGTGCTTTATTAGATGAAAAAGAAACCCTATATCATGGACCAGGTGTGGTGAAGGACACCTTACAAATAATATTGTGTAGGTCAAAGCAGTAATTCAACTACAATTACCATTTCCATCAATGTGTTGTTTGTATTAGTGTGAGGATAGTGACATTGGCTACCAGTTATTGAGGATTTTCTACATGCCAAGCACTATGCTCAGCACTTTACATAAAATATCAAGTTTAATTCTTATGAAACACAAATCAATATTGTCATTTATTTCCTTTTACAGATGAGTAAACTGAGTTTTAGAGGACTTGAGTAACTTACCCAAGGTTACACAGCTAATATACCACAGAGCCAAGGTTCTAACTCTGACCATCTGATCGCAGACCTGGGCTCATAACCACTGTATTTGGGAAAGAACCAGGTTCTGGGGTCCAATCAGTCAGTTCAAGTTCTGACTCTGCTGCTGTGAATCTTGAGCGAGTTACTTAACCTGCCACAACTCAGTTTTCTCATCTTTAAAATGGGCTAATAGTAGTACCTACCTTATAAGGTTACTGTGAAGATTAAATGAGTTTACTAGGCAATGTGCTCAGAAAAGTGCCTGGAACATTGTAAGCTCTATAGAAATGCTTACCGTTGCTATTATTATTGTTATTGTTATTGTAATGATCCCATACTGCATCGGCTGTAGGGGGAAGAGCATGCCACACAGAAGCAATAGCTTCTGCAAGGATTAAAACAGCATGATATGAATGGGCAAAGACAGGGAATCTGGTATGTTTGGAACACAGACTGTAAGTGGGGGAAGAGGTTAGACAGGTATGCTGGAGGCAGACCGGGAAGGGTGGTTGGTGCCAGACCTCTCGTCTGGATGGTATATCTTATGGGTCTGGGGAACCATCTAGAAGGAGCAGGTGTGTTAACATGCTTCCGTGCCTCCTTCTTATCCAGGGGTGCTCGGAAGATGCGACATCCTCATCGTCTACAGCCCGGATGCCGAGGAATGGTGCCAGTACCTGCAGGACCTTTTCCTGTCCAGTCGGCAGGTCCGCAGCCAGAAGATGCTGACTCACAGGCTGGGCCCCGAGGCCTCCTTCTCGGCCAACGACCTGAGCCTGTCCCTCAGTGCCCGCTGCGTGGTGGTGCTGCTGTCCGAGGAGCTGGTGCAGCACTTCTACCGGCCGGCCCTGCTGCCCCTGCTGCAGAGAGCCTTCCACCCACCGCACCGCGTGGTGCGGCTGCTCTGCGGGGTGCGGGGCGGCAAGGAGTTCCTGCGCTTCTTTCCAGACTGGGCCCACTGGCAGGAGCTCACCTGTGATGACGAGCCCGAGACGTATGTGGCAGCTGTGAGGAAGGCCATTTCTGAAGGTAAGTATTTCTTCTGAAGTAAAGATAAGCAAGCCCTAGAAAAATGATGAAGGTCCCAGGCATTTCAGGTGAGACATATTTTACATTAATGCCAGTCATTTATGTTACAAAATGAACAGGGATCTCACTATGTTAGGAGACCTGGTGATATTTATTGGTTTAGAGCAAACTATTTCTGGCGTGAGATAGGGAGAGGCTAGGTCTCCTGGACTGCAGAAGAAGACGACACTAACTCTTGTGGTCTGTGCCGGGGCAAAAGCCTTCTTTCTAAAAATTTCTATGCCTTGGAAGACTCAGGACACAAGCTCCAGCCTAGAAAGCAGTGGAGGTGGGAGGCTGAGATTTAGTTTGCGGGGCTATAGGAACACCACTGCCACCTCCTGCTTGCTTGCCACTTCCATTTTATATCATGTGACTTTAACGTTTTTGTTGGAAAGGCATCACTTTTGGTTTTTTTTGTTTTCTCCTGCTTGCTTGCCACTTCCATTTTATATCATGTGACTTTAACGTTTTTGTTGGAAAGGCGTCACTTTTGTTTTTTTTTGTTTTTTTGTTTTTTTTTTCCTTTTTGTCTTTTTTTTCGTGTCCGGCAACGGATCGCAACCCTCAGTGTCGCGCCCGTACCGGACCGGGACCTGCAACGGGATCGCAACCCTCAGTGTTGCACCCGCACCTCACTCAGCCAGTGAGCGGGAACTGGTCTGTATGTGGGATCCGAACCCTTGGCGGGAGCACCGCTGCGCTCCCAAGCGGCGCACTGTAGCAGTGTGCCACTGGGCCAGTCCGAAAGGCGTCACTTTTGGATAATGTGATTTTAGAGAAACAGCCCTCTTCTTTATTTCCTGCCAGCCTAGCTTCTGTCTTTTGCCCCGTTTCTCCTTTTAAAGGGGGAAAACCCTGATCCTCTCTACCGGGGCTAGTGACTTTGATGGCTCCAGGAAGTGTGACATACACTCTGAGTAACAGTAACGGAAGACATACTCTGGGATGGACACATGTCACAGCTTTTCTTCCGGTTTTTGTTTTCTATTTTTGCTTCACTGTGGTGCTGTGAGTGGGCTGTGAGTTTACCTTCTGTTCTCTTGCCATTTGAGATCTTATATACCTGATGCCAGTAAGGAAGCCTGGAAAATTATGGGCCTGATTTGGCTGTGCCTCAGTTATCCCTGCTGTGACTTGGACATTAATTTGGTTTGTCCACCCCATCCCATCAGATAAACTGAATCAAGAATTTAATAATTCTCAGTGACCTTACAAAGGGAATGTAGCTTCCTAGGTGCTTTATCCCAAGAAGAGGCTGCTCTAAACCTGTAAATATGACCAGATCTCTTAACATAGTGAGATCCCTGTTCATTTTGTAGTATAAATATCTGGTGTTAATGTAAAAGATGACTCACTTGAAATGCCTGGGACGTGGACTAGTAATTTTTCTAGGGTTTGCTTATCTTTACTTTAGAAGGACACAACGATGAAAAAAGCACGTAATTCGTATTTTGTATGGTTGCGCTTCATTGCTTTGAGAGGGTTGTGATCTTCCCAAACTTACAAAGAACTGAGACATAATTGGTTGTTTCTGCAGATGAGTTTATGTCACTGCAGCAATCAATTATGATTTCCTGCGCGGGCCACTGTGACCCTCAAGCAGTCATTCAGAGCTGCATGGATGTATCGGCCCCTAACACTGCATGCTCTAACAGATTGTTCTTTAAGATATTACAGTATTGTTATTTTTGTAATAGATGATCAGCAAGATTCTTTTAATATTGTTTGGTTATATCCAATGATTAGGTGCCTGGATAAATTGATCTCTAATATTTCACTTTTTACTGAGGACTCTGGCTCAGTATGCTTATGAGCCTTTAGTTTCGAGTGTATCAGAAAGAATGAAGTATTTCACAGAGGCGTTTCTGTTCTGAGAGCAAGTAATCTCTCATCAGAAAGAGGATTATTTTAATGGTAGATTGAAAGAAACTGTTTAGTGTGAAATCTCTGCAGTCCACAACCAATGAATATAAGGACAAATGGAATTATAGGAAAGAGAAGAGGAAGAAAGAAGGCTTATAGCCCCAATATAACTTTTTAAAATCTGCTATTAGGCTTGTGATGTGAGAGTTGAGGCATCTGTCTGTGCCAGGATGGCTTGGGTTTGCTTTTTGGGTGTCCCATAGCCATTGCCCTTAGTTGGCCCAGTATGCAGTTCCATGTCTCTAATTTTTATGCTGGACAAACTTTCTTAACAAACCTGACACTCAGAATTTGGCATTGTTGCAAAAAGAGCACTGAACAGGTGTGGGGACACTCTATTAACTGGCTTTGCTTCTCACCAGATACCCAATACTGGCAAGTCATTTTGCCTCTTTGAATTCCAGTTTCCTTCTCTGTAAGAGGAGGACTCAGACCTGATTTAAGACACTTCCCAGCTAATAATCTATGACTCACCAAGGCCAGAAGTGAGTCATAGATGATTTAAAATGTCTTAAACATTTTTGAAGCATCACCTTTTTGCCCCATTTTATACCTGCTTTCACTCCCAGAAAGCTAAGGGCTAAAGCAGTGTTTAAGGACAATACTATCCCTAATTAGATTTCTGATATAATTACGTCCTTAGTTACATTCCCTATAAATTGTGATAGTTTGTCTTTATTTTAATACTCCTCTTGTACACATGAGGTTTTCCTAAGGCACCTCAAAATAAAAGCAAAAAGTAAAATTTTCGTATATCCCACTACCACAAGCTGCCCAGTCCCATGAGAAATAAATACATGAAACTTGTTTCTTTGACTTACTGTGTTTAAAAAAAAATCCCACTAGGAAACATAATGGGTAATTGAAAATGGGGATGCACTAATGGTAGGGACAAATAATTAGGGAGTTATTGATTATTGTAGGGTTATTGAAAGCTACAGGGAGACAAATTCCAGGAAAAGGTTGTTAGTAGTTAGAGCTGTGTAAGGATGGAATAGGTTGCCTTTGGAGCTGATGAGTTCCACGTCACTGCGAGTATGAGAGCGTGTACTGGGGGTGTGTCATAAAGGGACTGAGCTCCATAGGTGGAACATGTGACCTTTACAGCCTTTTAACCATAAAATTCCCTTACATGAAGTCCTTCTTTTCACCAGGAACACATTTCTATTCTGAATTGGTTTTCTTCCTTCACCAGCTCTCTGTGGGGTTTCCAGCTTCCAAATGAATAAATATTGGTCATGTTCCTACTATGACCCCAGCAGTAAATAGCAGGAAAAAAAGACCTCAATTCATAATCTATGTAGCTGTTTGAAATGGTAAAGCTCCAAGCATATTTAAATATATATTTTTTCCTTAACCTCAAGGTACTTTTTGGAAAAAAAAAGGATTATTTAATGAGATATTCACTGAAACCGTTTAAAATTTAGGCTAAAGTTTAGGCCACTTAAAAAGTTTAAAATAAGGCTTAAAGATTGAAAGCTTTGAAGATTAGAGGTGGTAATAGAGAAGGTATTAAATATAAGGTATTAAATCTGAAACTTAGATTAAAGTGACTACGGGTAGTTAATCACACTTCCTTTTGCTGCTGCGTTATCTAAACACATGCTTCTTAAACTTTAATGTGCACAGAAGGACCTGGGGATCTTGTCAATATGCAGACTCTGTAGGTCTGGGTGGGGCCTAAGATTCTACAGTGAGCTTATTAAAAGCTCACTGGTGATGCTGATGCTGCTGGCACAGGGACTCCTGAGTGGCAAGCAAGGGTCTAAGCCCCGTCTCCTTTGTCAGGCCACTGGTTGTGTACTTCTGTTGTGGCTGGCCATTTTTTCGGTCTCTGCTTTTCTAGAAGTGGGGACACCATCACACTAGGGCCGCTCTGGGACACCCATCGGTTTAGGTATAAAGTTAGGCCAGTGTTTGGTGCTTGTGCCATCAAGGTAGAGTTCCTAAGTTCTCTTCCTGTGCCCCTCCCTACTCATAGATTCATGTGCTTGCTCCTGCAGGTTTTAATCTCTCCGTTTTCCAGATGTAAGTGGTCCTGACATTGGGATGGGGGTACTACTGTGATCATGATCCCCACTCTTTCTTCACTTAATAGGTCCCTTGATCATAATTACTATTCCACTAAAAGAGGATTTGGAAGTTTTATTTTATTTCCCATCCCCCCTCTCCAAATTTGTCAGCCACCTTAAAATTGAGCAGATGTTTTTTAGTGTGTTGGAGCAGCCAGTTTATTTCCCATGTTCTTCATCTGTAAAATGATGGGGTTGGACCAGATGATTTGGAAGGCTTCTACCAGCCCCTAGCACTGTAATATATCATTATAAGTTTTCTAAGAAAATGGCAAATTACCCAGAATTCTTTAGCTAATTCAGTTTAATTCCAAAATGTCTGCAGTGATAAATACAGTGCATAGAAGACTGTACTATTATTCTGAATTTTTTGGACTTGATGGATGATTATTTTAAAATAAGGAAGTGAGAAACCCTAGGTTCAGCACAGAAATTATTTCCTCTTTTTACTGGAGCTCTATTCTTTGCTGCAAATCTCACTGGAATACAAAAATAGATCCTGTTATACTGTGTGGGAAAGGACTCAGTGGGTGATACTGAATCTTATTTCGAAAATTTTCATCTCTTTGTGTGTGTGTGTGTGTGTGTGTGTGTGTGTGTGTTCTGAAGGTGAAGGAAAGCACTAAGTCTACTTCTCCCAATATTATTTAGTATTTCAGTGGAGATCTTGTCAGCTTCTTCATTTGCATTATTTTCTCCTTGCATCCCCCATTCCTCACCATGCCCTTTGTGTTTCAGAAGCTCTGATGGTACCCAAAATTATAATGTATTTTTGCCTTTGGTTCCCAAGGGAAAAATTAAGAGGAATATGTCCATATCTGGCCTTTCCTTGTTGATATGAATGCTCTAATCTGAATATTAAACTGTAGTTTAGAAGAAAAACGATAGGGATTTTTAAAATGCTTTTAGCTAACCAGATGGATTCTGAAATCTTTTCTTAAATTTATTTATTTACTTATTTTC